TAAAATATTGATAAAAAAGATATTGATACCAAATACTAAAAGCAAATACTAGCAGCAAATTATTTGAATTATATACACAATATTCTGTACACATTGTGTACAGGAATATTCTGTAAACATCTAATAAAACTACCTCTCCACTTTTAAATGGAGAGGAATTTTTTTTACAAGATATTTATTTTTATCATTTATAGTATTCTTTCTGCAAGCTGAAGATGATCGAATTACCTGGAAAGATTGCCCTCATCTTGTCTTCTAGATCTGTTAGGGATCCTCTTACTTTAGGTTCTTCTTGCGAATTTTCTCGCGAATCTTCTCCCGAACTTTCTTGCGAATCTTTTTTGTTCTTTCCGAAAAGATCGCCCATCTTATCGAAGGGCGACTTTATTTCTTTCAGCTTATCGAATGGCGACTTCATTTCTTTCAACTTATCTAAGGATAACTTCATTTCTTCCAGCTTATCTAAGGGCAACATTTCTTTCAGCTTATCTAAGGGTAACTTCATTTCTTCCAGCTTATCTAAGGGCAACATTTCTTTCAGCTTATCTAAAGGTAACTTCATTTCTTCCAGCTTATCTAAGGGCAACTTCATTTCTTTCAGCTTATCGAAGGGCGACTTTATTTCTTTCAGCTTATCGAAGGGCGACTTTACTTTTTTCATTCCTGCTTCGATAGGCGACAAATGAACTTTGTCGGAACCAGGTTTGATATTTTCATCTTCGCATTCTGGTTTAACATTTTCACAATCGCCGAATTGCACGGCGATGCTGAGGAAGAAAAGCACGAAGAGGCAAACGAATACACGTGACATTGTGTTGTCTAATCACCCAGAATAAATGACGGCAAGGCAGGATCCTATTAACACAAGCAGTGCATATATCTTAATCGTGAATAAAAAATCAAAATGAGAAACATGAATTTAAGGATGAAATAAACAATTTAGCTGCTTGAATAATTTTGGACACTATAGGATAGAGACAATTAATCGTTATGCATAATTAAATAGAAATATTCCGTGACAGAAAAAATATTTGAAATATTTGAAAGAAAACTCTTTATGCCAATGCTTATAGTTTGGAAGAGCA